ATGGTAGTTGGTGACTTTGACGCGCACCACGATCTTTGGCCCTCAAGCCTGTCAAATGATCGTAGGGGAATACATCTGGCTAAACAGATAGACGATTCGACATTCTGCACAATGAACGACGACGCACCCACCAGGAATATGGGCAGCTGCTGCAGCTCGCCAGATCTAACAATTGTCAGCGCTGGCCTGATAAACAGCGTATCATGGCGACCTATGATGACTCTAGCATCAGACCATCTGCCCATAGTCATCTCGATTGTTAAACCTGCCGACTTTGCTTCCGTGGATCACCGGACTTATGACAACTTTTCCAAAGCTGACTGGAAAGGCTTCACGGATGTTACTGAGGGCGACTTCACTGCACTACCCATACCAACCGACGTTCATGTAGGTGAACGTAAGTTCCGCAGGGTTGTCACCGCTGCTGCAGCTCGCTTCATACCAGCAGGATGTATTAAGGATCCACGTCCGAATTTTCCTGCCGAAGCGGCTGTTCTAGCTGATGAGCGCGACAACCTTCGTCAGGGCGATCTCGGAAATCCCCGTATTAGGGATCTCAATTCGGCAACTTGTGAACGTACATAAGCGGAGGAAATGGGAAGAGTATCTGAAGACCTGCAACTTCGCCTCTGGTGTGAGCAAGCTTTGGTCAACCGTGAGGTCGTTGTCCAACCCGACGAAGCGCGACGACAGAGTCGAAATAGACTTTGGTGACCACGCTTCGTCGGATCCGGAGTGATGTGCGAGCTATTTTAGCCGGCAGTTCATTCTGCATCCTCCGGTGAATAAAGCCAAACGTCGGGTGACCAGAAGGCTGCACAAAATGCCAAAACCTAGTGCGCCTCTTGTTTTCACCAGCGGTGAGGTAAGGGTAGCCATCGGGAAGGCGAAAGCCTCCAAAGCCATTGGACCCGACGGAATATGCATGTTGGAAGATGGGGAGAGTGGTCTCACTGCTCAAACCGGGGAAACCAGCCAGAAGAAACTATACGTCAGTGGTGTCCAACAGAACTTGGACAAAGGGCTACTTTGAAACTAGCGCTATAATACGCGGGCACCGCTAGCTTAACTTCAATCTTAACTGCGTTAACTCGTTTCACTCTTCTTATATTCAATGTATATATTCTAGTAGTATAGTTGCAAATCGCACCGATTTCAAATCGTACGACTCGCAGCACATGCCCAATAAACTTAATATGTGACACGTAAAGTTAAAAGGGACCTACGCTCAGAAAAAAAGATTTCGAGAAAAACGGCTTTGAAGTTTACCAAGTTGATTTTGATGCTTCTGACATTTTAATGGATTGAAACTCGGTATTCGGGGTCGCTGATTACGAAGCCGATGTTAGTTTTCCAAAATTCAAAATGGCGGATCCAATATGGCGGATAACATTTCTAAAAATTTATCGGAATCGCTTGAAACTCGTTACCCGTCGGTTTTTGGTGTCGCAGATTACGAATCCGATGTTCGTTTTTAAAAATTCAAAATGGCGGATCCAATATGGCGGAAAAAATTTAAAATTTGTTCGGATTCATGTGAAACTCAAAAATGTCGTTGACACCGAACACGAGGTAAGTGATTACGAATCCGATGTTTGAAAACCCCCGAGTAACGAGTTTCAAGCGAATTTGATACATTTCAGAATAGTTTGTCAGATTTGATTTTTTTTGTACTTTTTTTGTGAAAGTACCTAACATTGAAGTGAAATTGTGAAAAAACTAATGCAGCTAGAAATCTGCGGTTTATTGCATTGGAATGAGTGGCCCGTTTACAATAAGAGTCGATGAAAAAGTGAAAACCGATTTTTTCTGACCGTAGGTCCCTTTTAATTTTACGTGTCACATATGATGCTTGAATCTTCATATTTTTTTTTTGATTGATTGATTGATTGATTGATTTAGTTAGTAATAATTTGATTACTTGTAATTACAGTGATACTATTTACCATAACATTATTTTGAGCTGTCTAAACTATTTTCTCACAAATTCTATACATTTTCTTTTAAATAAGTGTATATTTTTTTCTTTTTTGGTTTCTTCATTTAAAATATTAAATCTTTTAAAACCTTTATAGAATACATTATTCTGTGATGACGCCTTGCATTTTTCTGTAGTCTTAGGTCAGTTGCGTTTCTTAATTCATATGGCTGCACTCATCGGCGTAGCCAGAATGAAATTTAGGGGGGGGAGGGGCTCGAGCCTATTAAGCTGGCATTTCAGGGTACTATTTTATATATATATAAGGAAAATTTGAAACTTAGGGGGGGGGGGGGGGGGGGGGGGGCGGGCCCCCCCCCCCCCCCCCTGCCCCTACGCAGCCTGCACTCCTCCGACGTAGATGACCTTCTCCGATATGTAGTCCGGAATTTTACCACTAGTAGTCAGATATACAAACATAAGCGTATTGAGCTCCAATCTTTGCGGCACGTTCAACCATTTTAAGACATCCAGCATAAGCTGGACTGATGTGTACTTGTTGCATCTCAATATTATTCGCATAGCTTTATTCTGAAGCTTTTGCATTCTGTCGATTTGCGCATAATTAAAACATGAAAATAGTATTGTTGAACAATATTCGAAATGAGGTTTTAATATCGTATTGTATATTCTAATTGCATTTAGCACTGATAAGTTTTTTCGAATTCTTCTAAAGAAACCTAGTTTTTTGCCAATTTTTTTACATGCATTCTCAACATGCACGTTAAACTGCAGGTCTTTGTCTATTATGGCACCGAGGTACTTAATGTGGTCGACTTTTTCGATTAATTGCCCGTTAATTTCTATGTATTCATCACTATTCATATTTATTTCCATCAATTTTGTTTTCTGTTCGTTTAGTTTGAGTTTATTCATTTTTAGCCAATTACTTATTTCATTAATGTCTTGGTCTAGTTTATTTTTACACTCTAGCGGCGTTTCACCTGTGCTATATATTAGAGTATCATCGGCGTATAACATAATTTTGCTGTTTTTTAACACATTACTTAAATCATTAATGTATATTATAAATAGATAACTTCTAAAATATGGTTTATATTGCACAGTTGTGCAGGCTAAAATCATGTTATTTTTGACATGTTCATCAGTCAGTACGTTTCGGTACTTGTTTTTTATATATTTTTAGTTGTGAAAAAGCCTGTTCCAGAAGAGTAAACGTCTGGAAATGTTGAAAGTTTTTCTTTGTCAACTGATCTATCCATACATCGATTTCGAGATTGCAAAGTTGTATTGAAATCATTTAGTTTTGCAGTCACATCAGTTAAAAATGCTGCCTTTGGTTTTCAGGAAAATCTTTTGATTTGCTTGACCTTGGTTTGTCAGTCCAAACAGGAATCTTTATTTACTGTTGATGTGTTAATTTACGGAACAGTTTATTCAATAAATGCAATTCAAGTTACAGCAGATTCCTTAAGATTAATTTGTCTAATTGAACGACTTGTAAAACCGCGTGGTAGCTATTAGCAGCAAAAGCAATGGAATGACTTGAAAGTCAAAAAGGTTACCCAAGTGCTGCCACGTTGATTTACAATGGAAGTTCCTTAATAGGGTTGCCAGAAGGTTTTACACTTCTTACATTCCCCTGGGCTTAATTTTCTGTATATATTACAAAATTAATATATATTTTTTAAAGATTTAATTTAACAGGTTTCTTTCTTATCCTTTGCGAACGTCTGAGCGGCGTTAATGGTGAATTGGTACTGGTTTTCGGTAACTGACGATATGTCTGCTCGTTATTAGGCGTCTGCGCAGTTGAGTGATGAGGTGGTTCATCGCGAGGCACTTG